TCTCATTGCCAGTGGTTTATAGTTCATTGGGGCATGTGGCTCATTCTGCCCCTCATCCCCACTAGACTGAGTTCCTGAGAATCTGGAACAGAATCTTTGTCGCTGTGCCCCCACTGCCCAGTACAGGGCCTGGTACTTACTAGGCGCTGAATGCATGTTTGTGGGCTTGAAGTGTGTGTACATATGTGACTGGTTCTGTGCAATTATGTGTCTCTCTCTCCAGACAGAAGGGGATGCATTGTCAATATGTGTATGTGTGGGTCCTTGTAACTTTGTGTGTGGTTTAGGGCCACACACATAGTTTATATTTATTCATTTCCGGATATTTATGAATGTCCCATTCTGACCACCAGGGCATGCTATTTCTGCCTATGCCCTACGGGGATGCTCTGTCATCCTGAATCAGTACGTGTCTCCCTCTCACCACCAGGGGGCAGTGTGCTATCCAAGTAGGGTGGCTTCCAGTTTGCCAGTTTGCGTCGGTAGGGTAAGGTGGGGCTAGTGGCATCTGGGCAGTGCCAGGCAGAGGGCCTCCACCCCGGGGTACTGGCTGGAGAAGCTTTCTGTGGGGCCACCCCTTCCCCAAGGTCCCCATTCCAGCCCAGAACAAAGCCTAATTTGTAGGTCTGTGTGCAGACACGTGCTGGGACAGCCAGGCACACAGCCCAGTGTTTGGCTCAAATTCCTTCCTTCTGCCTGGAGGTGGGGGTGGGGAGGAGAGTCCATTCCCTGCACATCCTCTTCCGGGACCAGAGCAGGCCAGAGCCAGACTTTTCAGGTTCCAGTCCCTGTTTGCACTTCCTTATCTGCATGGCCTTGGGCAAAGTCCTTCTCTCTGAGCCTCAGTTTCCTCATCCGTAAAACAGGAATAATTAACGCCATCTCTCAAGGTGGTTGCTAAATGAGAGACCATGTGTAAAAGTCTTAGAAAAGTGACTGTCCCAAAGCTGTTATTGTTGTCGTTGCTATTACAGGTCTGTTATTATTATTGCAGGCTTCCACCTATTCACCAAGACCATCCTGTGGAGAGCCTGGGGTTGGGGAGAACCTTTCCTAAACGTGGGGGGCCCCTGCCTGCCCAGGCATTCCCCCTCACCCAGTTCTGGAAGTCGCTGCTGCTATCTGACCTGTGGTGCCTCTCTCTGCAGTATGTGCATGAGGGCCGTGTGGAGGATCTGGTGAGGCCCCTGCTGGCCATTCTGGACAGGCCCACGAAGCTGCTACTGCTGAGGGACATCAGGTGGGGCAAGGATTGTGGGCAGGAAGAGGACCCCTGATACCTCCCCGAACCTCCCCCGGGTTGAAGCCCCTCCTGGCACCCCAGCACTGAGCCCTTGCCCACCCCCCATCTCTTGCCCTCTCCCAGGAGTGTGGTGGCCCCCACGGACCTGGGCCGCTTCGACAGCATGGTGATGCCCGTGGAGCTGGAGGCTTTTGAGGCCCTCAAGAGCCAGGCAGGTCAGCAGCTGCGGGGCAGGACTTGTGGACACTGAGCCCCAGGTGGGGGTGGGGGTGGGGTCTGCCAGTGGAGAGCGGGGCAGAGATTGCCTGAGCCTCTTCAGCTGTGTCCATCAGGCGGCCTGGCAGGGGGGATCCTGCCTCTGACCTGTTCTTCTCTCCAATCAGTACGGCCTCCTGCCTTGAGACCAGCCCAGCAGGACACACCGCCCAGGCGTCAACTCATCACGCCTGTGCCTGGTCAGTCAGAGTCCCAGAGCCCAAGGAGGGGGCACACCTCTGGGGGATTGGGGAAGGGAGAACGGGCCTTCTGTCCTTGCTCCGTGCACGTGGGGTGTCGTGGCTTCATAAGTACGTGTGGTTCCCTGAAGGAAATCCCTTGTCCACCTGAACCATTTTTATCACATCCACTCACTACCTGTACTATTATTTACTTAATAATTGGTTTTAAACCCACTTACTTTTTTTCTTTTTAGTGAGGAAGATTGTCCCTGAGCTAACATCTGTGCCAATCTTCTTCTTTTTGCTTGAGGAAGATTGTCCCTGAGCTAACATCTGTGCCCATCTTCCTCTTTTTGCTTGAGGATTGTCCCTGAGCTAACATCTGTGCCAATCTTCCTCTATTTTTTATGTGGGATGCTGCCACAGCATGGCTTGATAAGCGGTGTGTAGGTCTGTGCCCGGGATCCGAACCCATGAACCCCAGGCCGCTGAAACATAGCACGTGAACTTAACCACTATGCCACCAGGCTGGCCCCAAACCCACCCACTTTTTAAATCTAGTCTCATTCTATGCAGTAATCTCTGAGAAATCACCAGTTTGGTGTGCAAGTCGTATTTTTTCTTAGACACGTTAAAATAAAACTGTAACTATTACAATAGAAAGTATTGAGATACTATGACAATAGAAGCCGGGCAGTGTCCCTCACTGTGGGGAGCACTGCCATAGGGCCTGAGCAAGCCCAGGCCTGGGTCTCATAGACCCTACACCACCAAAGGCAAGGACTGGGCATGGCGAGGTGGCCTGGGCTGGTGAAAGGGGGCAGCCTGACCCTCTTGGCCCTCTTCCCCAGACAGCCGTGGAGGCTTCTACCTGCTGCCTGTGAACGGCTATTCTGAGGAGGAAGATGACAGGGAGCTGAGGGAGCGGCTGGGGGGCCTCCAGGTCTCCCTGGGTGCCTATGCCCCCCGCCACCCTCATAAAGGAATCACCCCTCTCCAAGACGTGCCAGTAGATGCCTTCGCCCCACGCCGAAGCACCTGCACACCTCCTCCCCAGCCACCCCCTGTGGCTCCCCGGCCCCTGAGGCCTAATTGGATGCTGACAGAACCCCAGACCCAAGAGGACCCTCGACAGAGCAAGAGCCAGGGCCCAGCCCAGAACCGCAGCCGCAGCCGCAGCCGGGGCCGAGGCAAGTCCCCAGGACGCAGGTGTTCCCCATCCCCGGCACCTAGCCCCACCCCTAGCACAGCCAACGGGTGCTACCACAAGCCTCGGAAGGCCAGGCCCCCTCTGCCACGACCTCTGGATGGGCAGGCAGCCAAGGTGGGGGGCAGTGGAAGCCCCTCTGAGAATGGAACTGGCTGGACAGCCAAGGAGGCAGCCACGAAGGCCCCTAGTGGGGAGCTGAAGACAGTCACGCTGTCCAAGATGAAGCAATCCTTGGGTGAGTCTGGGCGCGACTTGGCCTGGCAGGGGGCACTTGGGTTTGGATGAGATTGGCAGGCTTGGTGTTGGGGTATGACAAAGGGGCCTGGGCCTAGGAAAAGAATCTGGGTATGGGGGTGTAGTTGGGAGGATCTAGATTTAGGGGGGATGGGATCTAGTGGAGTGAGTTGAGGATTGAGTAGTAACAGAATCTGGGGATTTGGGAGAAGTTGGGGGCCCTGGATGTGGGTACGGGGTCTTGAGTTTCTCCTGGGAGCTCTGGGTTTCAGGGGTGTGGCTGCACTGTCACCCGGTGTTTCTCACTCTCACTAGGCATCAGCATTTCTGGGGGCATTGAGTCCAAGCTGCAACCCATAGTGAAGATAGAAAAGATCTTCCCTGGGGGGGCGGCCTTCCTCAGTGGGACCCTTCAGGTGGGTGAAGAGCACCCGGGCCCTCTCCCTAGGCCCAGAGTTGAATTCTGGCAGGAGGAGGGGCAGGTACATGCTCATCTTCCAGCCAGACATGCCTAGACCGGGTCGTGGGAGAAGACTTGAGAGCAGGGGGTCAGGCCTGCAGGATGAGCAGGCCTAGGAGAAAACTCTGTCCCCTCATGCCAGCCTGGGCCTGAGGGCGGCCCATCCTCTTCCACCCCTGGCCCCAAGGGACAAAGGGCCATTGTCTGCGCCCCACCCTGCCCCCAATGGCTCCAGGCACAACAGTCCCATTGTCCATCCTCTCCACCCAGATGGGGAGGAGTATCCTAGCTGGTGGAGGTGAGAGGTTGGGTGGTGGGGTGGGGGTGACCTGAGGACGGAGAGCTGTGATTCTCCCACCCCCATCCCAGGCTGGCTTTGAGCTTGTGGCAGTGGATGGAGAGAGCCTGGAGCAGGTGACCCACCAGCGAGCAGTGGACATCATCCGTCGTGCTTATCGAAACAAGGCTCGGGAACCCATGGAGCTTGTGGTCAGGGTCCCTGGGCCTGGCCCACTACCCTTACCCTCTGACTCGTCTGCCCTTACTGATCAGCGCCTTCCTGCTGACCATTCCCCTGCCTGCTGACCCCTTGATGGTTCTGCAGTTCCCTCCCACTCCCTCCCACCACCTCCCATTAATGGTCTTCCCAGCAAGAGCCAGACCCCTCCCACTGATGCCAGGCTCCTCCAGCTGACCCTCAGCCCGGTTCCCTCTCCAACCCTCCAGACTCCAGATACTAACCCCATGCTCTCGCCACCTGTCCCATGACTCTCCCCTCTGACCTCAGATCTGCCCACTGACCCCAGGATCCTCCTGCCGTCTCCAGACCTTGCCACCAGCCTTACCAGCCTCCTGAGGACTCGGGCCCTCCCTCTCCTGCTTGCCTCGCCTACTCCCGAAGCTCCACACTGGTAGTTCAGGTTTCCCTCTTCCCTCCCCCGTTGTCACTGAGGCTCTGCCCTTTCCAGATAAACTTGGTGTCAAGGACAAGGTGCTACTGGGCAGCCTGTGTCACCTGCTCACTGTCCTCAACCTCCCAAGACAGAAGCGGGGTTGAGACACCCAAGGTTGAAGCTTGGGATGGGTGGGCACTTGCTCATGCCACCTCTGATGCCCTAAGCACTGAGGGTCATGGACTCTCAGACAGAGCCCTCAAGGGGTCATTGCATCCATCCCCTAGCCCCAAGCAGTATTCTCTGCAAGGGACAGGATGGAAGGCTTTTCTACTTTTCTCAAGCCCTGAGAGACCATTTCATGTTGTGGTCCACTAAGACCTCAGACCTTCTACTGGATTTATCCTTCCCCCATCACCCTTTCTCCCCCTAAGACCTCTATGAGGGCTAGGGGACTAATCAGCAAATAAAGAGGGAGTGGGGGTCTAACAAGTTCCTGTAACCTTCATCCAGCACACTCATCTTTTTTTAAAAACAAAAAGGTTTTTAATTTTTTCTTTGGGTTTGTACAAGAAATTTACAGTGTGAAAAATATACAAGTGAAAAAGAGGCCATAAACCTGGGTGTGGGGAGGGGCCCCTTGGTCACAAACACAAATAAACAAGACATTTCTGAGTTCTTCCTTTGGTCTGACTACAGCCCTCACCCTGGGAGTGAGGCTGCAGAGCTGGAACCTGGGGATCAGACCCCAGTCCCAGCCCGTCCCTCAACACATGGGTGGGAGCAGGCACATCTGGAGCAGCTGGCGCTGTCTGGCTCTCTCTGGCTTTGGGGTAGGGGAGAATGTGGAGATGCGGGAGCCCCCTTCTCCTCCCAGCCCCCTGGTGGGAAGGCTGGCAAGCATCAGGGGTGGGTGGGTTAGCAGAGTGGTGCTGGCAGCAGTCGTGGAGTGAAATGGGTTCAGTGCGTAGGAGCCTCTGCGTGACAGTGAACACGGGGACCTTCAAGGAGTCTGATGTATCTCCTCCATGTCGTAGGGCAGCCCTGAGTTCTTGGCAGAGGCCCTGAGGCCTGAATCCCAGGGCACGGGTGGCTCTGGGGCCCTCAGTGCACCTGAGGCTACTGCCTCTCTCAGTAGAGCTCCCGGCAGAGCTGGCATGCCAAGGGCCCTAGATTTCGGTGGCGGTGATCTCCTCCAGGCAGATGCAGGGCGCTGGCTCGGCCAGGCCCAGGTCGGCAAGCTCGCGGGCCTCCAGCTCCAGGCTGAGCTGCTGCAGCTCCTGCTCCAGCTGCCGGTTGCGCCGGTACATCTGGATGTAGTTGTGCTGCAGCTGCTTCTGGTAGCGGATCACCTGCTCCTTCTCTGCCTGCCAGGCCAGCCGCTCCCCCTCGAAGCTGTCCCGTTGCTCCTCGCCCCGCTGCCGCTCCCGCTGCAGCTCTGCCCGCAGCCGCTCCACCTGGGCCCGCAGGCTGCCCCCCACCCCGGCTGCTGCCCGCTGCGCCTTGGCCTCATCGCTCTCTGCCAGGAGGAATGGGTCAGCAGTGGCAGGTGGCACAGGGGGTTCCCGGAGCCCGGCCACCTCGGTGTCCAGCTGCCCAGCTTTCTCTCGCAGCCGCTCAGCCTCCTGGCGGTGCCGCTGCAGCTCCTGGGAACAGGCCTCCAGCTCCAGCTCCCGGGCTCGGGCTGCCTCCTGGAGGCCCCGCGCCCGGCCCTCACTGACCCGTAGTGCCGCCCGGGCCTCCCGCAGCGCCACCCGCAGGGCCACCAGCTCACTGCCCTTCTGCACCAGCTCTGCCTGAGACTCCTTCAGTTGCTGCTTCAGCAGGGAGATCTCGCCTGACTTCTGGCACACCTGGGGGCAGGAGGGAGTCGGGAAGGATGGTGAGAGGAGTCCTCCCAGTGCAGGAGGCCCTGACAGCATGCTGGGCATTTGGGGAGAAGAGATGAAGACAGATGAAGACACTAAGGCGAGCCGAGTGACATGTCCAAGGTCACACAGCTACTAAGTGGCTAAAGTGGAATACAGACCCAGATCTTTTTCCTTCAAAGTGGGTGTCTTACAACCACCACAAAGCACCACAGAGCCCTGGGGACTGGGTGGTGACACGTTTTGTGGGAGTGGGAGCAATTGAGGGCAGTGCCAGCTGAGAGGCACTATAGTGTCTTGGTTTAAAGCACAGACATCAGAGTCAGACTGCTTGGGTTCAGATCTCAGCTCCGCCACTGACTAGGTGTGATTTTGGGCTCCAGCCTTTCTGGGCCTCAGATTCCTCATCTCTAAAATGGAGATGTTAACAATACCCACCTCATAGCATTGTTATAAGGACTGGATGATACACTCTACGTAACATGCTAAGAATAGTGCCTGGCGCATAGCAAGCACTACATTCTTATTCTTATTATTGGCTAGAAGGGAGTGGATGGGAATGCCACTGGCTTCATGGGCACTAGACCAGACCAATGAGGAGACCTAACAGGGAGGCATGGGGAGACCCCCACCCAGAAAGGGAGGCCAGAGGGGGATCCTCCTCTCACAGAGGTGAGGAAGGGGAGGCCCTCTGGAGGTGGCAGGTGGAGGGTGTGTGGCTGGGCCCGTCTTTCCAGGGCTTGTTCCGTAGGACCCCACTCCCTGCCCCTCTGGGTCTGGCCCACCTCCCACTTGGTCTCCTCGAGCCGTGGCCCAAGCTCCCGCTGCTCCCGCTCAAAGGTGGCGCAGCGCCGCTCCAGCTGCTCGCGTTCCTGCAGCAGCTGCGCAAAGTCATCCTGCAGCTGCCGCTTCTCCTGCTGCAGCTGGAACACCTGCAGCTGCAGCAGCTGCTGGGCCCGCTGTGCCCGCTGCGCCTGGGCCGCACCGTCCTCACGCAGGGCCTCACGCTCTCGCTGCCAGTGCCGCTGCCGGTCCTCGTACACCTGCAGACAAGAAGGCCGACCTGGGTCCTGGCAGCTCCTCCAGACCTCGAGCCCTGGCCACCCCCAACTCCCCAGTCACCGACTGCTCTGGTGGCCCACTGGCCTGGGCTCAAGGAGGGCAGTTTCCATTAACAATGATAAGAATTATGATGACAAAAATAACTGCTACTTTTATGATAACAGAAACAACAACAACAGTAAGCACTGAGGTAGCACTTCCTAGGTGCCAGGCATATTCTAAGCACTTTACACCCTTCGCCTTACTTAATCCTCGTAATAACCCTAGGAGGCCAGAACCAGCCCCATTTATAGACGAGAAAACTGAGGCTCAGTAGGATTAAGTAACTTGCTCAAGTCCAGGGCTGGGTTAAATCCTCACCCCTCTACAGGTTAAGCTAGACAGCTGGGGTGGGGATGGGGCCACATGGCAACTGCCCAGCCCCTGCCTGCCAGCACACATGGAAATGCTCCTTGGACCCCCAGCGCCTCTAGATGTCCTGCCAGGCCACCCCCACTATTGCTGCTGATCACACCTGACACGTGGTCACCTCACTCTCGTCCAGACTGTCCCGCAGCTGCTGCAGCTCTGCCTCCCGGTCACGGAGCTTTCCTTCCAGGACACAGTGCAGCAGGGCCTCGTCCGAAGGGGGTGGAGGGGGTGGGGGCGGTAGTGGGGAGCGCTCCTCACAGGAGCTGCTGTCAGGGGAGCCCCGGGGACCACTGCCCAAGAGCCCCACAGCCACGCGGCCCCCGAGGGAGCCTGTGCTCTTGCTAGAGGAAGAGCGGCCACTGTCCGAGTGGGAGGGCCCAGTAGGGGCTCCTCGGGCTGGCCCAGGCAGTGCTCCCCGCCCAGGGCCGTGGGAGGGCAGGTGCCCGCCTGGGGAGTTGGTGGCTGGCTCAGCACCCCCGGTGCTGTAAGTGGGCAGGCTGGACAGTGAGTTTCGGCCGGAGTCAGACAGCGTCCCCGATGGGCAGCCACTGGCCCAGCCACTCAATGCCAGAGGTTTGTCAGCAGCCGAGGAGGAGGAAGAAGAGGAGGAGGAGGCGGGGCCCCCAAACAGCTGTGTTAGGCTTCCCTGGCTCCCAGACAGTCCGGCGGCCCGAGGACCCAGGAAGCTAGGTAGGGATGGTGCCCCTCGAGGCTTGGGCAGGACTGGCTTGAAGGCTGTTGGGCGAATCAGGATTTTCTCCATGTTCTGAAATGAGGTGCCATGTGACACTGGGAATGAGCTGCCCAACCTTTCAAAGCCCTTATCACATTCCCTGCCCTCCCATTTGGGGTCCCCAATCCCCATATATTAATAGCAATTGCTACCACTGGCTGAGGGGCTCCTGAACGTCAGCTTTATGTCAAGCAATTTAAAAGGTTCATTTCTAATGATTACAACAGCCATACCAGCAAAACATTATCACTATCCCCATATTACAGGTGAGGAAACGGAGGCTCAGCAACGTTAAAGGCCTTGCTCAAGGTCAAACACACAGCTGTTGTACAATAACAGTAATTTAAGCAGCTAACATTCATTGACTACATATTACGGGCCAGGTACTAGGCTAAACATTTACATACATTATTTGATTTAATTCTCACAGCAATCCTATGAGAGCTGACCTATTACCTCCATTTCACAGATACAGAAACTTTGGCTTAGATAGCTTAAGTGACTTTATCCTTAGGTCGCACAGCCAGAATCAGGCAGAGCTGGGATTAGAACCCAGGTCTGGTGATTCTGGAGCCCATGGTTTCCTCTAAATAGGCTTCCAAGTTCCAGCTTCTCCAGGGGGCTCCTAATTCCACCCAGGCCCCAAAGGAAGGGCTGGTCCTCACCTTCTCCAGCTTTCCAGAGACAGGGATGAGCTTCGGTGGGGGACCGCGGAGATGGGCATTGCGTGCCCGCTGCTCTCGGGCATCCTCAATGTCACTGCTTGGGCTGGGGGGTGACTCCGTCCGGAAGTCCTCGTTGATGTAGGTGAAGCTGGTGCCAGGAACGGCCTTCCTGGGGGGCACAGCTGGGCACAGCGGCTCCTGTGCCTCATAGCCACCCCGCAGCAGCCCATCCTGCTGGCGGAAGAAGGTGGGCCCAGGGGGGCCGTGGTGGCGGGGAGGAGCCGGCCCCCCGGGGCAGGGCCGGCCTGAGATGAGGCTGCTCACGCTGCCCATGGCTGGAGCTTGTGAGGCTGTAGCGGCCTCAGGAGCAGGCTCCAGTGGCACTGGCAGAGTTTGCACGATGGCCATGGTGGCAGAGGCTCAGGCCTGGCCAAGGGCCTCCAGGGGAACCTGTGAGCAGGGCAGTGGTGTCAAAGTCCCTCCACCTTGAGTCCCTCACTATACAAGACCCTGAGTCCCTCTCCTGACCCCTCGTCCCAGGTCAAACAGCCCCCTGACATCAGTAACAAGCCCTAATGCCCCCAAGGCTCCCCCTCCAAACACTGGTACGAACCTCAGTTTTCCCTGGGCCCCAGACCACTGCCCAACTCTGGCCCGAACAGGGTTAAGGACTGAGTCTCTGAGCAGGGATGACGAGGGGATGGGAGGCCTGTGGTTATACAGGGCCCTTGGCAGCAGAGGCCCAGCCTCCAGCTCAAACCTGCATCGCCCACAGAGGCCAGGACTCCAGTTAGGGAGGGAGCCCTCTCTACCAGCTCCCACACAGGTCCTCGGTCCCCTGGGACAGGTGGCTTCATTAGAGGGCAGTTTGGGGAGAGACAACCTCAGGGATGCAGCCAGCAACTCAGATGGTAATTAGAGAACAAAGAGCCAAGGCCAGGCAGTGCCCAGCCTCCCCTAGTCGGGCCTCAGTTTCTCCCAGACAGAGAGGCGACAAGGGTGGAGCCAGCCAAACGAGAAACCCAGAGCTCTTAGGGAGCCCACAGGTGCCTTCTGGGGTCTCTTGCCTGCCAGAGGTGGATGCAGGCTCATGCTTGTTTCCATGACAACTGCCAGCGTCACCATACCCAATCGGTCACGCCTAAAGGAGCCTACACAGGCCCACTGCCAACCTCTACAAAACCCTCCAGCTTTAGCTATTCCCCAGAGTCACGTCAGGGGATGAAGACAGAAGCCCCACCATCACCTCTGGCAGCTGCTCCAAGATTTCACTTCCCTGGAGCTCAGGGAAGAGAGCTCCACCTCCCAGGCCTGCTCCTTCCTGGAAGGGGACAGCAAGTCTCCACCGGGAACTCCCTCCCCAGTCCTGAGGCCAAAGACCAGGGCTCAGGCATCTGCTGAAGTCATCAGGCAGAGCAGGGGCCAAGAAGTGGACAGAGAATTGCGTAGGAGCAAGAGTATGTGCATGTATTTGTTTGTGTGTGTGAGACTGTGTGCACAGGAGCATGAAAATGAGAACTGTGCGTATATGAAAACATCACGACCGTGTGTGAGTACACAGATATGTTTGGCTAGACGTATCAGTACATTCATATACATATGAGTATATGTCTGAATTCATATGTGCACAGCTTACAAGAATATGTGTGTACAAAGGGGGTCACTCTTAGAAAGTATGTGGAAATTATAAATGCATATGTAATAAGTGAATTTGTGGTGTATGAGTGTGACTATACGAGAGACTATGTTGGGATAATTGTCCATTCGTATATACGTAAGTTTATGTGTAAACTCACATGTATCTTACATGAGTGTGTGAATAGGAAAGTGAGTGTGCACAAGTGTGTAAGAGGAGTGTATGTGAATACGAGCATATCTGAGAGTGGGTTCTGGGTGGCATGCAGGGCCAACTGGGTGAGTAGGAGCCTGGTTTTTGTCACTCACTGGAGTGTGGGGGGAGGAGACATCCTTTGCCTGATCTGCTTCCTTTCTTGCTTGCTTGTATTCCATTAAGTCCATCCCCCATCTCCCCAATAAAGTCAAAAGACCCTGAGAACCAGGAAGATGTCCAGACTGAGGGAGGAGGAGCTGGGAGCTGGGGATGGGGGTTAGCAGTGCCCATGGAGCAATCATAGGCCCCTCTGCAGGGGTGGGGGCTGAGTTCACCCCACAAGTACCAGCCCTGAGCAAAGCAGATGGAACACCCCTCCTCTGCCCTGTCCCAGACCACTCTAGGGCATGCAGAAAACAGTGGGGAAGGGGCTTCTTAGGGGGCAAAGAGGGCTGGCACCTCTGTTTGCACTTCCCCACTTCAGTGAGCACAGAGAAAGTGAAAACTGAGAGGAGGAGACAGACAGACTGAGAAAGACAGGGGCCCAAGAGACAAAGACTCAGAGAGGCCCCAGGGTCAGACAGATAAGGAGACAGGCAGACCCAGTGAGCTGGGGTTCCTGAACCCCATGGAGCCAGGGGCCCCTAAACCCAGAAGAGACATAAAGCTGGGCCCTGAGAGCCAGACACCCAGGGAGCCAAACCCAGGCGTCTGGAAAGCTAGGCCGGGCCAGCCTGGCTCCCGCTCTTGGAGCCCGAGAGAGGAGGGGCAAGTGGAGGCTCCATTTTGAGAAATGCGTTTGTGGCTGTGGGAGCGGGAACCCCTCGCTCTCCCCAGCACTCTGAGTACTCCCTCTGGCACAGCGCACACAGCCACCCTGAGCGGGCTGGGGGGAGCTGAGGGCTGGGTTCACCCAGGGTTCGAGAGAGGTCTGGCCAGGTCCGGGCTCCCGCAGACCTGTTTTGGGGACTGAAGAGTTGGGGCAAGTCTCCCCCTCACCAAACTCCAAGGACCAGTCAAGCGGGATCAAGTCTGGGATCACGAGCCCCCATTCCGCGACAGGAAGCCGGGAGCCCCCAACCCACCCTCCAGAGTCCAACCCCCCCCCCCCGCTTCCATAAAGTGGGGGCAGCCGTGGAATGCCACCTCTCCAATGGACCCCCGCCGCGCAGAAGTGGGGGGCGCCCCAGGTCGCCTCCCAGCCCCGGCCCCGGCCCCCCCTCACCTCCGCCGCGCTGCTCCATGCTCAGCCCCGGGCCGCCCCAGCGCTCCACAGGCGCGCCGCCCGGCTCCAGCCCGCGCGCGGCCACTCGGAGCAGCCCAGCCGACCCGGCCCCGCCTCCGCGGCGCCCCCCACCGGGGCCAACCCCCACCCGGCCCGAGTGGGCGGTGCAACGCGGGGGAGGGGTCCGAGGGGCGTCCCCGCCCCGGGGGGCGGACACGCGCAAGCAGCCCGCGTCACGCGTGTCCGGCGGGGCGCACGCAGGGCCTGCACGGCTGCATTCAGAGTCCGTTCCTCCGAGGCCCGGTGGTTGTGTGTCTAGGGGTCGGTCGGCTCAGGACTCGGCGGCGGCGGGTCACCCTCTACCCCTACCCGGGCCCCGGGGCCAGCGGCAGCTGGTCATTGTCCAAGCACAAAGGGCCGGGTTTCGCGGCGGCCGCCCTCCCCCCTCCGCTCCTCTAGTCGAAGCCTCCCCCAAGACACAGGCTTCGGAGTCCAGAGGGGGAGGCCGGGGGTCAGCTGCCCCCCACAGTCCCCGGCTGCCCGGGCCCTGCGCCCCATCTCAGGTCAGGGGCAGAGGCTCGGGCTGTGCCTGCCCCACCCTCAGCGGGTTGGAGGAGGCACACTTGGATCTGTGGAGGCGGCGCCCCCTGGCGGCCCATCCAGAGAACACACCCAGTCACCCCGCAACTTTGGGGGCCCTTATCCGACTCCTCAGCGCTGTACCCTCTCCCCCGCCAGCCCAGGCTGGCCCCAGGCGTGGCTCTGTGCTCCTCGACCTTCCCCCAGAGTCATTTGCTAAGAGAAAGGTCATTGCCCAGAGAGAGGCAGCCCTATCCCCCAACAATCCCTGGAGTGAGCCGGTCCAAACCTAAAGTCCAAACCTACAGCAGCCTCACAGTGGACAACATTCCACCTGTCTTCTCAGGGTTACACATATCCTCACCCTCTCGCAAACAACACAAGCTTCTTAACACCCACACGACCTTTCCCACATTCAGGCTCACACGGCCACAATCACAGTCTCATCCATCACGTGATTCCGTGTTCCTTCTTTCCAGTCTTTTAGGCTAACTCACAGAGACACACTCGGTGTCACACACCTTGTGCCCAGTCTTTCACAAGTCGCAGTCCTTCCCACCCAGTCACAATCTTAAATACACTTAGTCTTCTAATCATCTGTCACACATTGAGTCTTATTCATAGTCACACAGACAACTTCTTACATATACACATACTTCACAAACATTCTACCACACAGACTTCCCCATAGGGGTCTCTGTGACCCAGTCATGTCAGCTGATGCCTGCACCCCTGGACAAGGACAGCCTCCCGCCCCCTAACCACCCACCCCAGGGCCAAGGTCTGCCAGAGCTCCTCTGCCCCAGGAAGAAGCATCCCCCCCCTTCCAGGCCACAGCCTTGGCCAGCTCTCAGCTCTATTTTTAGCTCTATGGAAAGGGTTGTTTTTCTTTCTTTTTCCCTGGAAAGGGAAACACAGCCCAGCCACCCTCAGGCTCACCCCAAGACAGACTGAGAGCAGACTGAGACCCTTTCCCAAGTAGAGACCCCCTTCTCTGGCCTTGCCCTGATCCCAGCCTCTTGGGGCACCAGGAGCCTCCTCCTCTTTCTGGCAGCCTGCCCAGAAGCTCAGGCAGCAGCTGGGCTCAGCGTGTGTGTAGGGGTGGGGGTGGGGTGGGGAGGGAGGCCGAGGACCGCTGCCCACTCCCTCATTCCCTGGGGGGGAGGGGGGTTCGCCCTCCCTTCTACCGGAGGGAGATAGGCCCACTCTGGTACTGAGGGGATGTTTACACACATGCATTCTCTGGGGACGGGGGACTCCCACTCTTGCACGAGTGGGCTTTCTGCTCCTGCACTGGGGGGAGGAGCTCCTAGTTCTGCAAGGAGGAGTGGTAGTAGGAAGGGGACCCACAGGCGCTCAGGCAGCTGCTCCCCAGGCTGGAGGCATGTGGCGGGGGCTGTTGCACACTGCCATCAAGAATAGCGCCCCCCTCCGATACCTTCAGGGAGGAAGGCACCGAGAACGTATTGGGGAGAAGGCAGGCGAGGAGCCCAGGTAACCCCATCCCAGCACAATCTTCCGTCCTTCTGCGCTACCCCAACTCCAGGGGGCGTTGTGCTCCCATTTCTGGGGGAGGCGGAGAAAGGAATACTGCCCGGCATGGAACCTTGCAAAGTTGCCCTGGACTCGGGGGGGGGGGGGGGGGGGGTGCACAGCCCACTTGTCTGCGAATTGATCACGTGCTCGGCGCTTGTTTATGTCTTAGTCTTCACCTGCGGGCAGCTGGGAAGCAGGAACCTCCAGAGATGTCTCACCCTGCCCGCCCCCGTCGGCGGTCACCGGGGCGGCCCTTTTCTCCCACCCCCGTCAAGTACGCGACAGCAGAGCGCCCTGTCTGCTGGGGGTCCGCGCGCGCCAGTGGCGCTGCTCCAGGGACTGGAAGGATAACCCACTGGGCGCGTTCTTCCCGAAGTGCACGTGTGTTCGCTTGTCCCAAGTGCACGCGTGGGTCTGCGTACACGCGTGTGTGGGCCCGTCAGTGCGAGTTTCTGTGTCGGTTCCCTGTTCAGACTCCTCGCCTGCGCCCCCCAGAGTGAGGACTCCCTCCTCACCCCAACCCCCAGTCTCCCCAGACCGGGAAAGTTCGCTGCGGAGCGGGGATGTGCGAGAGGCGGGAGATCCTGCACCTCCGCGGCCCCACTACTCACCCAGCGCCACCTGCGCCGCGGCTCCAGCTCCTGCCCGGGTCCTGCTCCAGCGCAGGCGACTCTTCGCCGCGGATCCGCCGGCTCTCAAGCCCGCTCCGGGCTCCGGACTCCGGGCGCCCGTCTAGCCGGGCCTGGTGGAGCGGGGCGGGGCGGCTGAGGCCGCGCCCCCGACCCAGGGAGGGGAGTGGTCTGCTCAGCACCCCCTCAGCAGCCGACCCAGTAGCCAGCCCGGCAGTAGTTCGATGGTGACCTGAGGCTGCCCCTCTGGCCTCTGACTTCACAGTTTACTGGATTTGACTTTCGACCTGGGGAAGGGGCGAGCAGCACGTGACCGAGAGCTAAGCTACCTGACTGCCCTAACCAAGCCGGCTATAAGACTTTACTGCCACCACTTTACTACTGCCAAACCTGGTCCACTTTAAGCCCACTCACTAGACACAGGGAAAAACCCTGGGAAGCAGACAAAGAAGGCTCGGGTTTCACCAAAACAGACACCCCACCCCCCAATCTCTGGTTGGGGCTGCCCAGGTAGAACCAGCGGCTCCCCCACCCCTGGAGTAGGTGTCTGCCCAGGTGAGCAGGCCTGCCAGGTCTGGCCCTCCACAGAGCATGGCCAGGTTTCCTTTAGACTCATAAAGTTCCACCCACAGGCACAAACAGGAAGTTGGCCTGTATTGCAGGGAGGCACCTAGGGCTCCCTCCCTTCATGGCACCCAAGGCGGCCTGTCAGAAGGCACAGACTGGGACGTCTGCAAGTATCAGGGCCAGATTTCCAGCCTGAGTACTTGGGCAGCAGAAGACCGGTGAGTTTAGTCCTTTCTCAAACCCATCCTAACTAAAGAAGCTGCTGGAAGACTACAGCTGCCCCCTCACAGCCAAGTGTGACACAGCCAAGTGTGACACTGAATCTGAGGAGAAGGCTGCAGATCCAGCTGGACTCCACTCAGCCAGGCCCTTCCTGAGCTCTCAGGGAGATTCTTAATATCCATAGGCAGGTAATTTGCCTCAATCCACTTTGACTGGGTACAGGAATAGTGGCTCCTAGGGACCTCACACAGGACCCAGGGATCCCTCACTGCTTTCTAGGCTCCAGGGACTCCTAATATACTTTGGGCTAATCTTGATGTGAGGAGTTTAAGACAGGTGTGGAATGGAATGTGTTTGTGTAGGGGGTGGGGCTGGGGGAGCATTAGCTTCCCCTCCCCCCCATCACTCTGGTTTGTGCTGTGTGGGGGTGTCTGCTAGGAGGGTGGGGCAAAACAAACAGGCAAGTGTGTATCTATCCCTCTATCCCCAATTCATACACAGACCTCACAAAGGTCCCCTAATGGAAACCCCTAAAGGATTTCCTGAGAACACACCAGGTATTCTCGGTAGACCAGAATGTGGAGCCCATGTCCTCATAGGTAGGACTGACCTGGTGGTATGCATCTGGAAGATATGGCTGACATTCAATGTTGTAGACCCTGGATGAGGCCTGGACCAGCCAGCGGCTGGGAATGATTACTGAGGGATTAGGAGGCTTGGCTCCAGCCAGTCTGGGAGAGACCCCCAAGAAGGAGGCCCTGGAGGAGCTACACCCTCCCTCCCCCCAGGTTCTTCCTCAGAGAACAGCTTTGCTCCAGGCTCTGTTTCAGGAAACAATTGTAGCCACAGTTCTCAGACACAACAGAGACCCATGTCCTTCTACAGGGTCCCAGAAAACCCCTCTTAGGTTAACAGAGAGACCTGGATAAGGCAGACCCTGCTTGCAGGGAGCAGGAAAGCATGCCCCTCCCCTTACAAAAGTTTTCTTCCGGGCCCCCTCAGAACATCTTGCATTCTCACCACTCTTCCAGGCCAACCTGAAGGGAAACTGGGACTTTAGGATATCAGAGGAAGTGAGGTGGCAAAGTGTTATCATTTAGGAATATTTCTGACAGGGTCTCTGGATAATTTATTTTACAGTCTCCTTCACGGCTTGTTAAACATGAGGAATCCTGTACCTCTTCAAACCTCCAGAATCAGAAAAGTCTCTGTGTCAGGGTTGGGGGAAAAGTAGGGCCTAGGTTCTGCATTTTTAACAAGAGCCCCAGGCGTTCTGACCGGCACTTAACAAAAGAGAAACACTGAGAGGGCATGAGGAGGGAAATAGATGCCAAGCCCAAGTCCACATTTTGAGAGGTCAGTGAGTGGCTCATATAAAAGAGGGACAGCTGGTCAGGCAGGGCCTAGGCATGTGGTCCAGTGACCCACACCTCTGCCAGGGATCACATGGAGATCCTCAGGGAAGATACAGATAAAGAGACACCACCCTGTCTTCCCTAGGCCAAAAAGAGGTGTAAGGGGATGTGTCTGTGAAGGCCCTTTAACGCCCCTGCTTCTTTGGGAGTACACAGCTCAAAGACTGGAGGTGGGACTGGGGACCCATCCACTCCCAATTCAAAGTGAGAGGAAAATCCAGTTATAGACTGGGGAGACACCTGGTGGACAAATAAGAAAAAGCACAGAAACAAAGGCAATGGAAAAAGATTTTTTTGTAAAACTGGAAAAGTCTTTACAAAAAGTCATGACTTCATTTACTCTAGTGGTCTGAGGCAGCATACCATGGAATCAGTGTCCAGGTGGCAGGCACTCTGGGCTCAAAGCTTCCTTCCATGGCTCTCCCACCTTTGGGGCCCAAATATTACAGGGCCGAGCACCTAGAATCCAATGGTAGTGAGTACCACCTCATGGCAGGCCCCAAAGTGGGGAGCAGAGGAGCTTGGTACCCACCCTGTCACCCTTTGGCTCTGCAAGTCTAGGCTGGAGTTTTGGCAAGAAGTCTCCTATTCCCCTCCAGGTCCAGGGGGCCTGACCCCACTGCTTTGAACTCAACATGTTCATTCCCACCTCAGGGCTTCTGTATTTACTTTACCCTCTGCCTGGATCCCTCTTTCTCTAGATGTTCACATGGCTCAATCCTCGTTCTTTAGGCCCCCGCTCAATGTCCTCTGCTCAGAGACACCTTTTCAGACCTTAATCTAAACTAGCTCTGTAAGCACTATCACATTACTATTTTATTTTCTTTATAGCATTTTCACTATCTAAAATTATGTTGTGTGTCTTTGTTCACTGCTTGTCCCCCACCAGACTGCAGGTTCCGTGGAAGCAGGGACCTTACTCTCGTCAGTGCTGTACTCCCAGGACCTAGAACAAAACCTGGGACACAGTAGGTTCTCAAATATCTGCTAAATTGAATTCTCTCCCTATGAAACCCTGCCCTAGGCTAGGCCCCTCAGACTAAGAAGGGCCCTAGCTCAGGACCACAGGACAGAGGCAGCCCAAGCAGAGGGCCAAGAGTTTAGGCCCTAGCCTATCCTGTCAGGCTCATGTCAGTGTCCAGCTCTGCACTGCCTTCACCTTGAAGGCTTGGAGGGGTCTGATTGGGAGGGGATGGGGGCCCGGCCAGTCTCAGAGCTCTGGGGCACAGTCCCCTTTTTGCCAGAAGAGGGCTTTTTGGCCCCCAGCTCATTGTCGTCCTTGATCTTCTTGAGCCGGGCCTTGCTCTTTGGTGGCATGGAGAAGGTGAGAGAGCTCTTGTTGAATTCAAGGGGGAAGACACCTATGTCGCCATCAAAGCGGTTCTTGGACACTTGCAGATACCGTTTCCCTGGCCCGGTTACCAGCTTCCTGTCCTGCAGAATCAGAACATTGTCTGCTTCCTGGCTTGCCTGAGGACAGGGGGAAGAGGAGGAAGGAGCAGTGAGAAGACGCAAGAGAGAAGCAAAACGGAAGGCTGAGGGTGCAGGGAAGAGCAGCACGAATGGGGGAAGGGAGAAATATGCCCCCTCCCCCATCACCAACGCTCTTTGAATACTGACCACAACGCAGGGCCCACCTGAGTCTTTCAGTTCCTTGACCACCTTGCTGCTGTCCCAGATTTTGTGTACACGCTGTTCTCTCTACTTGTAACACTTCTCCTCCACAGCTTGCCACCCCACTCAAACCCAGCTTCTTATCATTCAGGTCTCAGTCTAAATGTCACACTTCATCAGAGAGACCATTCTTGAAAGAAGGCACCACCATCTTTCCCTTTCTGTGTTATTCTCTTCCCCAGCTCCATGTTTGTTTCATTGTGGGACATAGTTTGTATATAGTTTGTGGCTAGCCCAGGCCTGGCATGTAATAGGCACTCAGTGTACCACTGGAAGCTCCAGGATCAGGCTGGTCCTGCTATCCAGAAGGTCCTCCCATTTATTTGGTTAACACCTACTATCTGCCAAAACTCAACCCAACCTTTGTTAACACCTCCTCTAGGAAGTCCCCTGGATGTCCCAGGCTGACTCAGATATCTTTTCTCTTTGCTCCCCAAATACCTGTGATGCCTGTCATAGCTCTTATAATACTGAGTTGTAATTACTGTCTCATTGTTTCCCCACTAGAGGATGTGAGCTCCTAGGAGGCAAGGAGGGCAAAGGACCAACTATTATCAGCCTTTGTATTCCTAGCCCTTGTATTCCTCATGTCATGGCCCCAGAGGCAGCTGCCTCCTGCTTCTTCCAGAAGGAGAGTCAGAATGATTTAAGGCTGAATGAGGGCTGTCCCCACTCACACTTGCCCCTTCTAGTCTCCAAAGCTTGGGCTCCTCTAAAGGCCACTTACTTTGGCTGAGCCAAAAATGGATGCTGTCTGCAGTTCCTTATCGTCATCCTCCTTCCGGGGATGAATGACTAGTGTCACATGGCAGCTATTGTCTGTTGCAAACTTCCGAAAGGCCCCAACGATGTAGTCTTGAGCTGCAATCCTGTCCCCACCCCAACAGAGCAAAGAGGTTACTGGACACACACAGAAAGACAAGAACATACACATACTCTTGATTCATTCAAATCTCCCCACAAACCACCACAACCCACTCTACTTCCCTCTACCCAAGGACTCACTCTTAGATCCTTGTCCATACCTCCCGCCGCCACACCCCACACCTCTATAAAGACAAAAATACACATGGGGTGGTATGTGCTTGCAAACACATCAGAAAATAAGAGAGTACAGCGTGTGTGCCTAGAGGCCAGCTGCCTGAGAAGACATGTGTGTTCGAGTGGGTTCCAGCTAGACAAGAGGAGGATGTCACCTGTCTGTGGACAACTGCTCGTGACCCATCATGAACTGCAGATTGTCGATGACCACGTGACAAATGTCATAGACGTAAACTGCATGTTGCATTGTGTCTATTACGGTCCTAGGAAGAGGAAGAGGCAATGAATTCAACAGTCAGCTACAAGTAGTCTCCAGACCACCCCCAGGCAGAAAAACCCGCATCCTGAAAACTCTGCTGGAGGTCTGTTCTCCTGCCCTCCCATTCTTTGAAAACCCCAGGCCTGGGAATCTCACCTGATGCTCTGTTGCCCATGGAAAGTCATGAAATAGAGGGGCAGGTCCTCAAAGCGGTCGGCCCACTCATCGTATTTGTCCAGTTGCTCTTCTAGCCGCACCACAGCAAACTGTGTCAGCATGACCCGGGCTAGTCTCACGTTGCTGATCTCAAAACTACCCCACAGCGTGTTCACCCCCTGGGTACACAAATCCAGGGCATACTCACTGATGAATGTCGTCTTTCCGCTGCCTGTCGGCCCTGCAGGGAGGGTTGAACACAGACCTGGGTGAGGGAGGAAAGTCCTACCCCTGAAACCAAGATACAGAGCAGGCCTTCAAAGTTGGGAAGGGAAGCCTCCACTTCAACAATTACCGTGGCCCAAACCCACATGCGTTTGTCAGCTGATCCTCTGCCCCCTAACCCAAGCAGTGATCTCCCAAAAGGTCACCTGTGAAGACCGTCAGCTCGCCCTTCCGATGTCCCTTTAAGAGACGATTGAGGTCTGGAAAGCGGCTCCAGCGGATGCCAGCTGCCTGCTCCACATTTGACAGTTCTCCTAGCACCTCCTCCCGGAGCTGCCGGAAAGACACGATAGACTTGTGCCAGGCGGGCAGGGCAGTACGCAGAATACGAGAAAGATTTAAGCTTCGGTTCAGAGCCTCCAGGGGACGGGGCTGCTGGTCTCCAGGTCGCACCAAGGAGCATCGCTTCGGGTTCAGTTTACGGGCAAACAACTTGGCAGCTTCCCAAGCCCGAAGGTCATCCCCCAGCCAGAGCACAATACGACGGAACTGTTCAAGGTAGGGGAGCAAGGCAGGGGGTAAGCAGGCTGTTCCTCGGGGTAGGGCAAGGGTGGGCAGCCCAGTGGATTGGTTCAAGGCCAGGCTGTCTATCTCACGACTTGTGAGTACCACCTCAACATCTCGACGACTGATCAGTGGTAATCCAAACAGATTGTGGTAGGCACCAGGCCGGGGAATAGTGGTCTCCACGTAGCGTACTCCATCCCCCTGGCTTTCAGCCCCTAGTAGCTTCAGGCCTCGTAATCCCAATCTTCCAGGGGAGAACCAAGGGAAGACAAGGCTGCGAGCAGGCCGCAGATACCGCACACTAAAACGCCTGAGTGTGTCATCTGTCACTTTGGTGAGGCCAAACATCACACGAGCCAGTTGGGCCTCCTCCGGCTCAGGCAGCTCCCAGAGAGGTATCGCTCGGTCCCAGATCCTCCGGACCTCCTCACTGTCCTCAGCTTCTGGGGCCTCACTAAGCAGGACCCCCTCTCTGGCCCCATCCCCTCGCCCCTCCACGCTGGCCTGGAAGTCTTCCCAGCTCCCCTCTGCTAGGCTGGTCATGCAGAGAAAGCGGCCTGTGGTCTTGTCAATGAAGAGGTTGAAGGAAGTGGTAGCACTAGTCTGGTCCTTGAGCTGTGAGGCCCCCACAAAGGGGCTTGGTGCCCGCAGGCAGCTGTGGCCATCTTGGAAGGGGATCCCATGCCCCCGCAAATATTGGCGGATTTCAGTTGCAGTTACAGGCAACACTGGTACATCCAAGGCTGGGAGAGCCTCCTTCCTGTACCGTCTGCGAGGAGGGCCTGGGACCAAGCTTCGGGGCAGGCCCCTCCGACCCATCCACTCCCCACGTAGGGGAAGCAGAATACGGAGGGGGTACCCACCTCGGAAGAGGACCCACATTCCTAATCAAATGGAGGAAGTCACTATTTGAAATGCGTTAGGTGCGCAGTTCAGGTGCCTTTACTAGGGATCCTAGGCATCAGACCCTAGGGATCCTCCACACCGCACTCTACCGAGCCCACTCTAGGTGGCTTCTTTCTCTCTTCATCAAACTTCTTCCTCATAAACATCTCTCTGAATCCTCTTCAATCCCTCTTCATTGCTATTTCACATCTATGCCCGTCTACACGACCCTTTCCCATCTATGTCCCTGTATCTGGCTCCGTACCTCTACGGTCCTTTACAGCTTCTCCCCACCACCGCCTCACCTCTACGACCCTCTCCACTGCCCCTCACCGATATGGTTTCTCTAGATCATCTCTCCACCACTACTGTCCCTCCACGGGACCTCCTCGTCGGCCTCATCTCTGCAGCCGTCCGCGTCCTTTCTGGAGCCCCTCTGCTCTAAGCCCCCGACTAGACGCCCTCTTCGCCGCTCCTTCCCTCAAAAGGGACTGAGCACGACTAGAGCGCCAGTAAGTGGCTCCCGCCAATTTCCGGGCCCAAAGGGACGCCCAGCTCTCACCCGCACCATCTCCCCCTCCGCTCTCCTACTAGGAGCTCCGCTGCTCCCGACCCTGGCTCCGAGTCACCACTCTCTCGTCTCAGCTCTTTCGCCGGCAACGTGGGTCACACACACGCACCTTTCGCCATGACCTCGGAAGCAAAACGCCACCTGGCGCGAGTGTCCCCGGATCCGGAAGCCTCGGGGTTAGTCCCGCCCCCCTTCTCGAGGCAGGCGGGCGCTGTAGCCATGACGGCGCGCGGGACCCCGAGCCGCTTCCTGACCAGTGTCCTGCACAACGGGCTGGGTCGCTACGTGCAGCAGCTGCAGCGTCTCAGCTTCAGCCTCAGCCGCGACGGGCCCTCGTCCCGCGGCGCCAGGTGAGCCGGGCGAAGTGCGCGGGGGTGCGACTCCGGGCGGAGGTCGTCCCGGGTCAGGGGTCACCGTACTCAGGCTCCTTGGGTCCCTCAGGGAGTTCGTGGAACGGGAGGTAACCGACTTCGCCCGACGAAACCCAGGGGTCGTAATATACGTGAACTCGCGGCCGTGCTGTGTGCCCAGAGTAGTGGCCGAATACCGTAAGTGGGGCCGGGCGGGGGCTGGAGGGCGGCGTCGGGGGGCTCGGCGCGCTCGCCTTCCTCCTTCACACCTGACTCGCCTGCTCCCTCTGACCCCCGCCTCCCTTCGGCCAGTTAACGGGGCGGTGCGCGAGGAGAGCATCCACTGCAAATCGGTCGAGGAGATCGCGACGCTGGTGCAGAAGCTGGCTGACCAGTCGGGCCTGGACGTGATCCGCATTCGCAAGCCCTTCCACACAGACAGCCCTAGTATCCAGGGTCAGTGGCACCCCTTCACCAACAAAGCGACAACATTGGGCGGGCTGCGCCCCCGAGAGGTCCAGGATCCTGCTCCAGCCCAGGTGCAAGCGCAGTGAAGACCTGCCCCACCAACTCCAATCCCAGGCTTTGGGCTCTTAGCCTAGTGGAGGTGGTTCCTCCTCTTTTGGTTCAGGGGATTCCAAGCCCAGCAGACAGATGGAGCCTACCAAAGGGGAAGTTGACACCAAAGCTTTTGCTTGAGATGAAGAAGAGCTTGCCTGTTTCTTTCCGCTGCCTACTGCAAAAGGCAGTGATTTTGTATCTCCTAATTCTTACCCAGTTGACATCCCTGAAACCTGAGAGTCTTCAAAGATTTTACAGGGTCCTCATTTCTGAAATCCAAATTGATAATAGTGATCTCAAATCACAGGGAGGGGTTTCAAGGATGGCTTGTGAAGAATCTGTTGATATACTATTTTTGCAACCACTGAGCTAGAGAGCTAGCACTTCATAGGCTGCTGTGAGCCTGGCATTGGGTTAGGCGCTTTGTGTGAATGTTTCTGTACTGATTGGAAAACTGAGGTTAATAAACTTGCCCAAGGTCACACTTGAGGTCTTATTTCAAAGTGTCTGCATATTTTAAATATAATCCTCTTTTTCATTATCCTAAAACCAGAAGCAGAAAAATAATCCTGCAGGATGCTTAGTATCAAGGCCATGTGATTAATCTAGGCCTGACCCATGGAGAGAGTGATTCTCAGGCCAGGCCCCTGGTAACAAGCTTGCCCTGGTCCCAACTGCTCCCCTGAGACAGGCTCCTCTGTGCAGAAATGAAGTCATGTTGTCCCTTGTAGGGGGAGGGGAAGTACTGAAAAGCTTTTTGGGGAAGAGCAAGAGGGCTGATAAACAGGGAGCATTTTCTAGGCTTAGCTAAAAACATAAGGGATGGTGAGGAAAAGAATCCGGAGTTTCTAGAATCTAGAAACCTTTGTGTGAGTTCTTGAACTGTTGTCGTTTTGTTTGTCGTGCCCTTATCATCACTATGAGTGACTAGTGAGAGCCTTAATAAAGCCCGGTGTCCCTGCCCGGGGCAGCCAGGATGGAAGCTGAGGATCACTATTTCCTCTGCAAATGGTTTCATGGGGAGCAGAGCCAACCCTGCAGCACCTTTTCCATTGGCTCAGAAGCCTGTCCCCTGGTGTTCAGGGGAAGGCCAGTCTAGACCAAGCAGACCACTCATAGCTGTGGGGAAAGACGGTATTTATTAACCAACAGAGCGGGGAGGAGCTGAGCCCAGGCTCCCCACTCTATCCCATGCCCATTCTGCCCACCTGAGTGGTGTGTGAGGGCATTCCTAAAGACGAGTAGCCGTTCTCACAATAAATACATTCATTGTAGGGTGGAGGTGGGAGAGATTGGGTGAAGGGCAGTAAAAACCCGTGGCATTCCACGTTCTCAGCTACAAAAATAACAGTCATCCTCACCCAAAGGGAATGGGGGAGCTCAGTCAGGATTTGATTGTCCCGTATGGGCCTGGAGACTTCAAAGGCCCCTGGACCCTGAAAGTGCCCCGGTGAGGTAGGACAGGGGTGGGAGCCAAGCATCCAAACTCCCAGCCTCTGCCCTTTGCATAGTTCCAAGAACGGGCTTCATGTGCCAGGTGAGACATTGGATGTCTCCTCCCCCTGCTCTGGTCTAGGGGTAGCAAATGTTTGGTCTCTAAAAGGGAGGCTGGCTCATTGAGTGCAGTGTTGGTCACCCGTCCTAGGGAAGTGTCTGCAAGGACAGTTGAATTGGAGAGGGCTCTCCCTCTGAAATGTCCTTGGACCAAACCCAACAGACACAGGTCTGGGGCAGCAAGGGGAGGCTCAGAAGGTGCATGTGACTGGAAATGTAAAGTACATGTGCACGAGGAAGGGACATGCCTAGAGTTCTGTCTCGGTCACTCTTGAGAGTGGCCAAGGGGGTGGGGAGGCCGACTCATAAGGGCTGCGCATTAAGGGAGGAGAAGAGACGAATGATGCAGTCTTACCTCCCCAGGCTGGCCTGTTTCCAAGCTCTTGCCAAAGAGGTCACCACATGGGGCTGGGACTAGGGGAGAGGACTAGATAGGATGAGATGTGGCAATTGGGAGGGCATCCAAAGTCCAGAAGAAGGGATGAAAAACAAGAATGCACCAGGAGGTGGGGATGGGGGCCCTGCAGCCCAGCTGATAGACATTCTTCCATGTGCGCATGTGAATGTACGCAAGGCTTGGGTGGCTCTGGTGGCTGGCAGAGGTCTTGTCTGGTTTCTGGACCATCCAGCACATAGGGCCATGCAGAGGATGGTGACATTGAGGCCATCTGGACCTGCAGAGCCCTGCCTGGGAGAAAGAGGAAGGCTTTGAGCAGAAGAATGGGGCAGGAGGATGGCATCCTCTCCTCTTAAGTGCTTAGGTTAAGGGAATAGGAACTGGGGCTGGGTCTGCAGAGCCTGAGGGAGCACCTACCTTGAGGAGTACCGGTTGGCCTGGGCTGCTCACAGTGCGTCTGTGGAGACTGAAGAGGGGGCTTTGGCTGGGCCTGACTCTGGCCAGCCCTACAGGGACATGAAAAAGTTGGGAGAAGGGCCTGGAGTTGAGGGAGTGAAGGTAGGGTGGTTGTGTTGGGGAGGCAGCGGCCCAGCCTGGGGCAGATAGGCTGGCTTGGAAGAGCATTTGTCCTGCGAGGCTGGGCTCAGACAGAGCTCTCATCCAGGTGCTCGACGAGCTGTGTGTGCTTCCTCTTCTCCAGGATGCGGCTAAGCTCCTCAGCGAAGGAGCAGGGCCCTGTGGGCACTCCATTGTTGCTCTGCCTCAGGAGCACATAGCTGCTGCCATTCATCCTGCGCAGGCGGCTGGGCAGTGCCACCAACCCATTGGTCAGCTCAGCCGGTGGTGGTGGGGGTGGTGGAGGTGGTGGTGCTGGGGCCCCCTCCCCAGGGATGATCTGGAGGCAGCCACCCTCCAGGCCTCCAGCCCCCTCCCCATCGTCACCCTCATCTTCCTCTCCAGGACACTGGCCTGAGATTGTCTGCAGCTGCACAGCAGAGCCCCCTGCCCGGCTGGCCCGACCCAATGAGTATTTCCGTCGGCGCCCTCGTCCACCTCCCCGAAGACAGGCCACATAGAGAAGGGAGGAAGCCAGGATGAGGCAGAGGCCACCAAGTGCAGCAATGGCTAGCACATAGAACAGTCTCACATCAGGTGCCAGTTGTACCCCAGGCAGGGCAGGGGCTTGTGGAGCCGGGGCAGGAGTGGCTGGCCGGACCTTGAGGCTGTAGGAGGCCAGCAGGGTGCGGAGGCCATTCTCCTCAGCATAGCAGCCATAGTTGCCACTGTGCTCAGGCTGTGTGTCTGTTACCAGCAGCCCATCCACGCCCACGCGGTAGCCATCCTGCCCATCGCTCAAGCCCATGCTCCCATTGAGCAGCCACAAGGCCCGGGCCAGGTTGGATGGCTGATCACAGGGCAGGAGGACATCATCACCCCGGAGCACAGAGCGGGTCTTCAGTGGTGGTGGTGGCCCTGAAGGGAGCAGGGGGACAGGAGGAGCAGTCAATGCCTGCCTATCACAGGGAGGGCATCGGAGGTGGCAAACCAGATGGTCACTGTTATGTCCCCAGCACCAAGCACAGAATCTGGAATCACAGTGACAACTGACCAAGCTCTCTGCACTCATGTTCCCACAAAAGGTTCACGTTGGCCCTTCCCAGTGGTTTTAATTTCTGCCATATGCTAATGATTCCCAATCTCTACCTCCAGCACAGAGTTCTCTCCTGAGCATCAGACTTGAATATCTTCTACATGCTGGACATCTCCATGTGAGGTCTCTTGGGCATGTCACAGGAACTAAGGCCAAAGCCTCCCTCCCAAACTACACCAGGTCTGTTTCTTGAATTGTCATCACTGTGAATGGCACCATCAGCTACTCAGTTGCCTAAGACAGAAACCTGGGAGTCTCCCTTGCCTCTCTCTCCCCCTCACCTTTGTATCTAACCCTCACCAAGATTCTGCTTCTAGAATCTGTCTCAGACCTGTTCACTTCTGTCCTCCAACTGCTGGCCCACTCTGGCCCCCATCTAATTCATTCTCCATGCAGCAGTGGGGTGATCTTTTAAAAACACTAAGCTAATCGTGCCCCTCCCCCACCTCCACATGGTCCCTGCCCACCTCTCCAGCCTCTTCTCTTGTTGCTCAAACACACCAAGCTCGCTCTGCCTGCTCTTCCCTCTGCTTGGGTGCCATCTCCCTCTCCATGCCCTCCACTTGCCTGGTTAACTTTGGGGATTGAGCATAGCAATGATCAAAAGAAGAAACTCCAGTCAGACTGCTTGGAGTCAGGTTCAAATTCTGACTCTGCTGCTTAATAGCTGATTAACTTTGGGCAGTTTACTTATTCTCCCTGTGCCCCAGAGAGGTTGCCCCTCATGGGGATGATACTAATGGCACCTCTCTCATAAGAATGCTGTGAGAATCCGTGCACTCGTGCATGGAATGGTTTGGTCAGCGCCTGCACATAGTATGTACTTGGTACATGTTAGCTCTGATTATTCTCTTTTGCTCCTCCTTCAGATATCAGCTCAGTCATCTCATCTTCCTTGGGCAAGTGCCCATTACCCTTCAAACCCTTGTCATAGTTGTAATTGTTCCTTTTGTAACAAAAACCAATGAAAATAATTATAATTATTTGTGTGATCATTCGATTGCCTGCCCTTGCCCGCCCCCCACACACATACACACTTGGCTATAAGCTCTAGAAGTGACAAGAAACTTTACATGTTGAGCCTGTCTCCTCATTTATAATTCTTTTGGGCAACAAATGTTTGTTGAGCACTTCCTCTGTGCCAGACTCTGTGCTGGGTCATCCTCGCCCAGTGCACACAGACACAGCCCTTCAGCTACATACTTGCACAGACAAATGACAGTAAATGGTAAAGAGGACAGGCTACACAGCCAGACCCACACACTTCCTTGAATGTCACTTACCTGTGTTCCTGTTGCCTTCACAACCTCGGTTTCCTCTCTCTATGTCCTGTATCAGTGCTGTCCTGGAGACAGAAGATCAGGACTCATTAACAAGGGGAACTGGGCTTTGGTTTCCCCAGTGGAAGGGTCAATAGACCTGTTACCAACAACTGTTCCCCACTCCCCCTACAGCTGGCAGGCCTTCCTCCTTCCCTCAGGCCCTGATCCCCTGGGCACAGGGGACCCTCACATCCCCCACCACCCCCCACCTGCTACCCTGGGACCTGTTGGCTACGGTGGTGGCTGCCATGCAGGCATGGGTGCTAGTGTCCCAGCCGCAGTAGGGGTCTCGGGA